CGACATGTCCCCTCACCCCCTCTGTGGGTGTCCCCACATGTCCCCTCACACCCTCTATGGGTGTCCCCTGGCTGGGTGTCCCCACATGTCCCCTCACACCCTCTATGGGTGTCCCCTGGCTGGGTGTCCCCACATGTCCCCTCACACCCTCTATGGGTGTCCCCTGGCTGGGTGTCCCCACATGTCCCCTCACACCCTCTATGGGTGTCCCCTGGCTGGGTGTCCCCACATGTCCCCTCACACCCTCTGTGGGTGTCCCTTTGCTGGGTGTCCCCTCACGTCCCCCCTCACACAGCATCCAGGTGCCCCTGGGTGTCCCCTGTGCCCTCTGTGGGTGCCCTGGGGTGGGTGCCCCCTCGTCCCATGCCCCCGGTGGGTGCCCTGGCCTGCAGCAGGGGTGGGAAGGCGCGTCCTGGTCCGCTGGCATGCTGGCGGTGCGGCTGCAGTCCCGGGTGTTGTGACAAACTGCCCCTTTCATGGAAACTGTGGAAATAGGTTAATAGGAAATAAGTTGGGGTTTTTTTTAATGAAACTGGGAGCTTAAATGTGTTAATTGCATTTCTTCAGGATAATTAGGTATTCTAATTTCTGTCTTTTTGATCCTTAGCTGCTTATTATAAGGAAAAATGTTTTTCATTTACGTTTGCCCCAGTGAATGCGTTGGAGGCTACTTTAGAAATTGTGTGTTCGTTCACGTGTTTCTGAAGGTTGAGGTTCTGACCTGAATCGTGTTGGGCTGCTTGTGAGACTCCTCTCCGGTTAGTTCACGGCCAGATACACGAGCGGTCGGGAGCATTGCGCTTTATTGGCGTGCGTAGAGCAGAAGTTGGTCTGAACCATCTTCAGTTGACTAAAAGCTGGAAGTTCAAACAGCGTGGGTTGGGTTGCTCCGGGTACCAGCCAGCAGAGAGGGATGCTTTTGATCACTACACTTAAAAGTTTAATTCTGCAGCAATGGTGCTTTGAAATGAATTCTCACTGAGGAAAAGAAAATCAGAAATGGATGTCCAGAGCTTGGGTTAAAGTTTATTCTGCTAAGACGTTCTGCAGCGGAGAACCAGTGAAGGAAGCAGCAAACGTGTTATCAGTGGTGTGTTCCGAGCTAACCGCTCTGTGGCCATCACGTAAGGCATGGTCAGGGTGACTCTGCCTTGGTCAATAAGATTTCAAGAACAGTCTACAACAAGATGGCAAAAAACCTGCTCCCTGAGCACAGGTCCCAGAATAACTTTGACCAAAGCATTTGTCACGTTGTACTGCGTTCTTTGTTGGAGCGCCATGCTCTTTTTAAAAGTGATAAAGAATTGTCTTCCCTAGATGTCTGTTCTCTTATTGTTGGTAGCAAAGAAATACACTTAAAAGTTTTAAAGAGCTTGGAATCATTAATTCTTTAAAATATTTATTGCCGCTGATTAATTTGAAACCAGAACTAGAGAATAATTGACATGGGCAAGGTCGGAGAGGATTCAGAGGCAGAAGCGTGTCTCTGTAGGTCGGTGGAGTCCAGTGCCAGGCTGCACTCGGGGCTCGCTGGGTTTGTGTGGGACACTGAATCGGGCTTGAAGAGCCGCTCTGCTGCGGTAGTTTTTTGTCAGTGGTTGCTGTATGCCTTGTGTCAGCCAGGTACTGTTGTGATCTCACCAAGTGATGCTGTGGGTGAAACCGTCAGCCCTCTTGGGACCATGGGGAAGTTGTGAACTCTTTGGGGTGTTATCTGGCATTTTCTGGATGGTTTTTTTCCCTTTTCCATGAAACAGCTTCATTCTGTTTGGGGTTTCTACTGTAACACAAAGAATAGTTCCTAATCTTCATCCTGCTTTTGCAAACCAAGAGTTTTTACCCTGCAGTGAGGCCAGAATGGTCGGTGTCTCAGGGTTACTGCTGCACGGTATGTTTCAGGAAGAAATCTTTCCTTCTCTTTGAGCTTCCCCATGTCCCTCAGTTGAGTGTGTTTAATGCCAAGCCAGAACTAGTAAAGGCTGTCTCAGGCTAGTGTGTGATTTTGGGCATCATGCTAACGCAGTTACTCTGCTCTTTGAATAAGAGTTGGTTTGTGTTCCGCCGTCTCGGATCATGGGCAAGCCTGCTTCACATCCACCCATGATATACCGTGTGGACATAGCCAACATTGTTTTCGTTGTAAGACTGAAAAGCTGAGCTATGCATGGCGCGAATTCTTCTAAAAGGGCGCTTGTGCCAAAGGAAACACAGGGAGCAGAATATTTTGCAGGGTTCTCCACTGCCACCGATTCCACTTTATAGGAAAGTTTCCCTTTAAAATTGTTCTTTCTCTTTCTTGCCACAAAGTTCATTGCGAAAATATTTAGACAACTAGTGCAGAGGGGGATCGCACACACCTGTGCATTGAAATATCATCAGGGTGGTTCTTTGAGGGTCTTGACAATACGTGGTTGTTTCAGAATGTGCGACCCTCAATGGAAAGTGCAGGAAGAGTTTTGGAAGTGAAGATGATTAGCTGAATGGGATTATGGTTGTGCCCAAAAGTACTGGGTGTTCTGTCTTGTGCTTAATGGCCATAGTGACTGATTTACCCATTAAAGTGATGTTGAGGAGTAACTCTTGTGATTCTCTGGCACAGTAAGTCCCAAGTGTTAATAATTTACAATTTATGTTACCAGTATGGAACTTCTAGAAAGTAGACATGTAATAAAAAATATTTTCCTCTTTTTTTTCTTGTTGTAGGATGGAAGAGAGACCAGTCTGAAAAACTGTTCCCTTGTGGATCTTGCTGCTGTCTGCTAGAATGTTCCTTATGAATGCTTCTCCTGTGGTAGCTCTTCAGACAAAATGGGAGTCCTTTGGACCGGCAAGGAATTATAGATATCCTGTTTGCTTCTCCGAATCTGAAGGGGACGTCACTAGAACCTCTGTAAGTGCAAAAGTTCAGATGATCATAAACAACCTGCAAAGTCAAGAGTCTCCCCTGGGTATGAACAATGAGTATGGTTGTATTATGCAGAAGAAACAAAAGGGAGAAAAGGGTACTGGTACCAGGGTCGCATCCAGCACCACATTGCTACAGAAGCGTCCTCAGTACCCCAAGTGCGAATGCACGGCTGATTCGGACGACACTGACGCGGAAGAGAACGTGGGGTTTGGGACTCTCTTGCTCGATTCTGATAGCGACGATTCTGTTGACCGAGGTATAGAGGAAGCCATTCAAGAGTACTTGAAAACAAAAAACAAAAGTGACCAGTTGTTGCAAAGGAATGCAGAGTGTTCTGAAGATATAAGCAGAGACAAAAGGTTTAAGAGAGAGTTCTCACAGAACAAAATGGCTAGTAACCTTCTCCCGGTGAAATTTAAAGCTGAGATGCTCTCTGAAGAGTACCTGTCTGACCACCTGGGAATTGGTAAAAGGCTACAGCCTGCTTCCCCTCAGAGCATCAGTAGCGATGACTCTTTTGAACAGAGCATACAAGCTGAAATAGTGCAGTTCTTGAATGAGAAGAAGCAGCAAGAAATTAGTAAATGTGTAATTGGGAAGGATAAAAAAGATTCCCATGTGAGATCCATCCTAAAATACAACAAAGAAACAACAAACGAAAACTGTGGTGCTATAAAGCAAGGTTGCAGTGCGCTCCTCTTGAGACATCATCCCAAGCTACAGAAAACCAGCACGCAGACCAAGTGTTTGCAGCCTAAAATCCAAGAAGAGCCAAGTGATTTCAGCCGAGTGAACCCGGCTTATCTCGAAATGGCCACTGCCAGCCAGCCCTGGTTGGTGGAGCAAAATGAAGATAGTGAAGCTAATTGCTGGGAGACGAGAGGAGCGCTTATCAACGAGAGCATGCACACATCCGACTCAAGTAGCGACGATGGCATTGAAGAAGCCATTCAGCTTTATCAGCTGGAGAAAATCAGGAAGGAGGCAGGTCACGCAACAGACTGTGTCCCTTTGCGGAGGGAACAATTTGGTACAAAGGGAGTGGCGGACATCTCTGCAAGCCTGACAATTAGCTCGACAAAAAGTGCCTCACCAGAAATCCATAAAAGCCCTGTAAGCAACAAGAGGAAAGAAATTAATTCAAAGTCAACAGAGTTAGAAAGCACCAGCAATGAATTTAACAAGCTGTTTAAACCACTGAAAAAAGCCAGACGTTTTGTACCTCCGGAAAACAAGATTGCTGCTTGTGAGCTGACACTGCAGGCCTCTTGCAGAGCAGACACATCTGCAGAGCTCATGTGTGCGGAAGCTATCCTTGATATTTCCAAAACAATCATGCCATCCCAAATGGGAAGTGACAACAAATCACTCGCTGCAGACTCTTTCTTTTCCCCCCAGCGTCTCTCGTCCTCCTGTTGTGACAGTGACAGCAGCCTTGTGGATAGCGATGATAGTATAGAGCAAGAAATCAGGGCTTTTTTGGCTCTGAAAGCACAGTCAGAAAGCCTTGGGACGAAGCCTCCCAGCCTGTCACACTCAATCCAGATGCCTTTGCCTTCTGATCAAAACAGCCTTGAGCCTTCTCTTCCCAAAACACTGAAGCTATCACTGAGTCATCAAAGGAGACTTAAAAGGGAAGGCCGAATAGCAAAACAAGGTGCATCAAAAACGCCTGAACAGCTGGAGACAGGACTTTTCCAGCAAGGTAACTATTCCGAATTTCCTGTGCTCCAAGAGGAGCATGCCCTCAGCAGCCCTGCAGAACTGTGTGATGCTCAAAGGCTCAGCAGCAAAGAGACAAGGCAGCAGCAGCAGCTGATGTCTTCGGAATTGTCCGGATCTGTTGGCAGGTGTGTGGCCTTGGACTCTGTAAATCCTTTTATGCAGGTTCAGAGTAGCGCAAGAAAACTTACAAAAAATACCACCCAAACTCAAGAGAGGGACGGTTCGGATGAGAGCAGCTCTCTGGATAGCGATGAGGACCTTGATAGTGCTATCAAGGACCTTTTACGGTCCAAAAGAAAGTTAAAGAAGAAGTCCAAGGAGCAGAAGTCTCAGTGCAAGAAGAGAGTCAGATTTAGCGAGACGGAAACTCAGCTGCTAGATGAATTTAGTAGCCTCCATCAAAATGAGTGGAAATGTAAAAGTCCCATGCTACTGAAAAGTTGCCTCTCAAAACCTAGAAAAGCTGTGAAGGAGAATACAATTAGGAATTCTCTAGACAACGTAAGTGTCAAACTTACCAATGAAAAACCAGAAACCATGAAGAACTTGGAGTTTAATTTACAGCTTAAAAAAGGATATAAACCTAAAACGATCTCAAACCAGAATAACCTGCGGGTAGCTAAAAATAAAAAATGTACTTTAACAGCTGCCTCAGATGCTGATGACAGCAGTTCAGTGGACAGCGATGACAGCATCGAACAAGAAATTAGGAAGTTTTTGGCAGAAAAGGCTAAAGACTCTGTGAGCAATTCAGAGATACAAAAAGATGATGCGACTCTGAGCCTACTGAGAGTGACCAAACAAACTGGTAATAAAGGAAAAGCAAAGCAAGAGACAATTGAAAATGAGATTGACCTCATGCTGGGCCAGAGTAAAAGGACTGAGGTATCCCAGCAAACTGATGAGTTGAAGAACTCTCAGAGAACGGAAGGGAAAAGTGCAATGTTATGTAGCAGTGGGAAATCTGCTTCCTCTGCAGAGAATCTTCATACTACTGGTCAGGCAAAAGCTAAGCAAGGAGTGGTGGGAGTTAAAGTTGTTGCTGGTGGTGAGTTATCTGGAAACGCAACAGGTAAAAAGGATGTCCCTAATACAGAGCCTGTGCAGAAAATACTTCCACCTAAAACCAGCAAAAATGAAGGGTGTAAAGTACAAAAAGTAATTAATGCAAAGTCTAGATCTAAAAGAAAAAATACCTTTCACCTAAAAATTTCGAGTCAATTTATTGCAGGTTTAAAATATGCTCGCGACAGGAAGAAATCCATGCTTTTGAACAAGAGGCAGAAAGCAGAGCGTTTGCTCACCCAGAGCAGTGCATTGGGAACGGAGGCAGCTTCCCAGGATACTGATAACCAGGGAAGAGGAGCCCCCTTGCCCCGCGGTGAATTTGGTGAGGAGAGTACAACAGCAATAAAAGAACCCAATTCTTCTCAGAAGCTCGCTGGGGAAGTCCCAAGTCCCCATGTAGTAGAAACCCTTGAAAGACTGGAGGCTGCTCCTCTGTGTATCAGAGAGGAAGCAGAGGGCTGCAGAAAGGCTGGTGCCTCGGGAGACCCGTCAGAGTCCCACTCAAATCTCTCCTTGCAGGAGGGGAGTGTGGCAGCAGTGGAAGCAGACAAGGTTTGCAGAGGAACATCCAGAGCTGAGAACACCCAGGTGTGGCTCGAGGAAGGAGATATCCCCAAAGGCAGCTGGGCCAATTCAAATTTAGATCCCCCACGCCCTGAACATGGTATGGCAGTGGGAAAAGCAGATAAGGTGAGCAGAGAGGCATCTCAGCAGAGCGTACACGCGTGCAGGAAGGGAGAGAGTCACCAGCAGGACAAGAGGCCAGATCTAAGTTTAGGTTCCCTGCTGCAGGAGCTAAATATGACAGCAGTAGCAGTGGGGAAAACTAGTGGAGGAGCGTGTACAAATAACAATATGCAGATGGGCATTAAGAAAGAAAAAGTTCTCTGCCAGGACAGTGACAGACAGGAAGAAATGCAGGTATCCAGCTCCAGTTTGGAAGGAAAGATACCTGTCCTGCAGAACAGGGAAACTGCTTGTGAAGTGGACCAAGGGTGGGAAGTTTGAGATAAAAACCTGTGCAAAATTTACCGACCTACCTGCAGGGAACTGCCCAGATTCCCTCATGAAAAGAAAGGTTTCAAATATGTAAGTACTTTTTTTTTTTTTTACAGTAACAGTCTTTTTAGAAAATAACTGTCGTTGTAATTATCTTGACAAAACTTGAGACATGAAAGGAGAGACAGTGGGAGGTGCTGATACCTCTATATCATATACACACTAATGTGAAAGATGCGTCTATTTAACAGGGATGTCATGGATAAACATACCTAGTTTTTGTAGAATTTTGTAAATTATTTAAAGTGCTCTAAGGAAATATTTTTTATAATGATTTTTAGGGCTTGCATTACTACAGGATGCTGTTGTTACTGTAGATAAGATACTGGCTAATCACACTTTAAATTATGAAGCCTCTAATCATATATCAAAAGGAAACCTGTTTGCGCGCAGGATATATTTGGCAATCTGTTAAGAGATCCTAGGAAAACACAGCATTTGCTAGCAATGCTATGCTTTTGAAGCAGATTATCTGACATCTGTTCACATTCGAGCTGCCTTAGCACAATCCGATGTCGTGGTTTTATGCTGGGGTCTCAGTTCTCCCGCCCCGAGGACTGCTGGGGGAGTTCACAAAGCAGAACTCCAGCGAAGTCAGCGCAGCCGTAGGTGCGGAGATCCATCCTTGAAGATACAAATGCAAATTCAGGGAAATAAAGTGGATCAGTCTGTCTGCACGTCCTGTGTGAAGCAATCTCAGCAGCTGCTGGAAGTAGCTTTTGAATACCCGAAACTTCCCGCTAGCAGATGATTCCAAGCACAACTGCATGTTGAGAAAAGCGAAGGAGCCTGTCTGTTCAGACAACGTGATGTCTGTGGATTTCGCGAGATTCACGTACTGTTGGACCTGCAAGGCTGAAGCAATTTGTCGTTATTCTCAAGTCTAATTTTGATGCCCTGCAGTTACCCAGAGATGGCTTTTGGTTTTCTGAATGAACTTTCTCAGATTGAGTGCCCTTACTTTCCTTTTTCAAAAGTGGTTTCTAAAAAGTTAAATTTCTCTGAACTCTTTTTTTTCATTTACGATTTTTGTGCAATAGAACAAAGCTAGATTTGCTGTAGGAAGTCTCTACTGTAAACGCCAAGGATATTTTCAGCACTGTTCTTTCATACTGCTAGCGCTTTCTCTGCCTCCGTTTCCAGCAGCCAGAATAAAGCGATTTTTCACTACTATCTTTTTATTTGTACTGACTTTAAATGCAATTGAAGTAGCACGTTTGTATCACCAAAAAAAAAGTGCCCCCACACTGGTTTCACTGAAAAATCCAAAAAGTGTGAATTGAAGCTGTTGGCTAGTTCTTTTCATTTGTGTGTAGTGAAGTCCTCTGAGTAGTTTGTTCTTACATCTTGTCCCTGTGAATGATCTGATATTCTCTTTAGCTAGTCTTATACCGAACTTCTCTCAGCCAAACTACCACTCAGTATCACTTTGTTTCTCGGTCACTTCAGCAGTCTTCCTGGAGGCTGGCCTTAACATTGCAAAATGGAGCAAAAGCAGTCAAGAACGGATCCGGTAACACACAGTATCCCTGCTGTGATGGCATTGGAGAACATTGGCAAACTACGGGGTAGCATAGAGTAGAAGGAGTAACTGTGGCATGTAGAGAAATAAACAACGTCCTCTGTGTGTTTGTACTGGTGTGCAGTTACATTTTAAACATGTTTATAGTGGTCACTTGACATTTCTTTCTGTCCAGCCACCTTTGATAGTCCTTGGGTTGGTTGGTTGATTGGTTGAAGAGATCAGTACGCTAGATCATCTAATTTTCGTGGTAGGATTCCTTGGAAAAGTGGTTTTTTTACTTAGCTCACGTGCCTGCACTCACAGGTGTCTGTTTTTGTCTGCCTTGATTCAGTTGCAGGATTTGAGCCTTTTGTTTGGAGTAGGTAACTAGGCTGGTATTTTAAACTAGAAGTTTTCAGAGTACCTTGCTTTAAAAGGATTAATCTGTATACTGAATTTTAATAGAGATGGTGGAAGCGCTGTGTACTGGTTGTGTAAAATAAGCTGAATGTTTCTTCTCGACATTTTCAGTAAATGGACATGAAGACTTCAAAGGTGTCTTGTGCCCCTGTCGATGTGTCTGTGTTCTCAGTGCTCCTTGTGAACCGGTTCCCTTTCAGTTAAGATGCAATTCCCATTACCTTGTGCTTTAAATAAAACCTAATTTCAAACTGCACTTTTTAAAAATTGATAAACTTGATTTGTATATAGGAAATGGTGTACATTGATGAGTTTATAATGTTCAATAAATGGGGTTCTGGCCACGGACCGTGAAACCAGAGTGTTCCTGTGGTTTGTGTCATTGTCTTCAGCGAGTAGGATTTCTCTGTCATTCCTCCTGGCTGCCGTTGGACGATGTCAGGAGCTTGTGCCGGTAACATTTGTGAGTGAAGGATGCCTCCCTTGAAGACGACTGCGTTTGCATGAGCCAGACCTGGAAACAGGAGCTCGGTTCACCTGCTCTCTTGCTTCTTGCCTCCTCGTGTCTTAAGCCGCTCTTTGAGCCTGTAATCCCCTCTGTGCCAACAGCGGGTGATCTCCCTGGGGCTGTGAAACGGAATCGGGATCTTTCAAGATGTGGCTGCTTAAGGGGATGTTGTTCTTAATCACATAAAATGAAGAAGAATCTACGAAGTACACAGGCAAAAGAAATCGTGGGCATTCTGGGAGGTGAGAACGACACCATTTTAGCAAAGCTCGAACAGCAGTTTTTGCTCCTGGTGTTTGTGGTCAAGAAGTGGAGTCTTGCCTTGTGCTTGTCCCCCTCTGTTAGTAGCAGAAATGTGCAGCCTCCAGGATTAGCACGTGTTTCTTTCTGCCCCACTAGCGAAGAAAACTGGTGATAGCAAGTCTAGGTGCCCGTGATGTTGCAAGCACAGGATGAATGTGCTTTCTTGCTCCCACTGGGGATGTTGCAACGCCCTGCACTGAGGTTCTCCTGTAAGGCAAGGAGACTCTCAACTGCTCTTCAGGGTGGGAGAGAGGGAGGAAAGGAAGGAAGAGTGGTTTGGGGTTTTTTTATGCAAACCAGCCCATCACCCTTGGTGTGTACCAGTATGCTGTGGGTATTCCCCCTCATCGATTTCTTAAAAATTAAAAAAAAAAGTGTATCAGGTCTCTTAACACGGTCAGTATTCCTCAAGGCCACTAAAACAGGGAAATGTAGGAAAGTGTACACAAGGAAAATATGTCTTTGGCCTCAGCAGAGTTCGGTGGAAGTGAGTTGGATAAGCTTACCCCAGCGTGTCTCAGGATGCCGGCTATGTGAGGGTGGCGTAAGGTACGCTGCCTGCAGAACTGCTCAGAGGAACTGGTTTTGGTGTAAGAATAAAACAAAAAAGGGAAGAAATTAAGGCAAAAAAAAAAAAAAAGAGGTGGGTGGTTTTAGAAGTATGAAAACAGGTGGAAAATACATGACAAAAGTCACTGCAGTTATATGTTTAAGATCCCTAAATTATTCCACCTACAGAAAAATCTGTGGATAAAAATATATGTAAAATTGTCACAACTGTTTGTATTAATTCTGCACTTTATGTTATTTTTCATTTCAGGAGAAGAAAGGGAAGTTGTAAGACGCTCAAGGTATTGTCTAGTCTAATAGAAGAATAGCAGTGAGTGATAGAGCGTTGCTTATTTGTTTTCATGCATTTAATATTTTGAAAGTTAACTCTTCAGACCCATTTCTGCTCAGTATATTTGCTTGTTCAAATGTAGTGGTGTGTTTTCAGCAAAGGTGAATTCAGACAGCTGCGCTGTCTGAGATAACCCAGTGCATTGCAGGAGAACTGGAATTGTTTGGTGGGCGATTGAAATCTCGCTGGTGGATCCAGGAACATGTCACTACACTGGGTTTGAGTGTTTAAAAAAAGCACAAGTACAGGTCTGCTCAGTTTGGTCTTGAGATTTTTTCCTTAGTGGCATTATTAACTAAACAGAATGCCTCTACCTTGCGAGGATGTTTAAATATATCATCCTGTCGTGCTTCCTGTGCAGTGTATGAGACTATTTAAAAATGACACAAATAGGCAATATTTCTGACGTGTGAAGAATATAATTTGCAGTGATACTTGGACATACTATTATTTTTTTAAAATTTCTATTTTTTTTTTTTTTAGCAAACAGATAGAATAGTATTATGCTAATTGTTAATGACTATGTTATACCTGTAAGGTAGGACCGTTTCTCATCCAGGAACAGGCAGACTGGTTTCTCTTCAAGCCTAGTTTTTAAGCAAAATGTGCCGCAGTGTTGCTTTTAGTGCAGTTACTGTCTAAATGATGCAGTTTCACCAACTGTGTAACTACAGTTATAATAAAACTTCAGAAAACATTTTATTTTTGGATTAGTTGTCTTTATTTGGATAATTTCTTAAAACATTGTAGTTTTGAGAGGTAAGAAAGATGCTTAATGAATACCTCTGGAAAACATGCATTTTGGTTATTCATTAAATAGTACAGAAACAGTTTAAAAATCTTAATTTTTAATGATATGTGGTACATGAGCCAAGAGTTTAAAGGATCATTACTGACAGAGAAAAGGTTAAGGGAATCTATATGTAATGTATATTGTTCTAGTAATTATAACTAAATGCTGTCTGTAAATTAAGTAAAACGGTTCATATGAGCTATATAACTGACATTTAATCACATTAAATCCTTCTAAATTAAGCTATTATTCCTAATAACACTCATTCTGTAAATTAGTTCATTTTCTTCTAGGACTGAAGTGGCTGTATGTGTTTTTCCCAACAAATCACTGACCTCGGTTTTGATAACAGATTTAAACCGTTTTTCCCCCAAAACTAAATGTGTGGCCTTAACTAGGTAGGAGTCCCGTTAAAAACCCCTACGTACACCAGTTTGCAGTTGGGGGGGTTATTTTGTACTGCTGCCTTTAACCTGCTCCTTCTGTAGCTGTTCATCACATCGTAATAGTGAGTCTCGCTAAAAAAACGCTTGGGTTTTTTGGGGGTATTTTTTATTTGGGATTGTTTTTTTTTTTTATTATTTAGGCAGTAAAGTGAAATGGCTTCATATCGTTGTCGTTCCCACGGCGGATCTAGCAGTGCGAGGGGCCGCTGGGGTTGTAGCTGGGGTGGAAGTTGAGGTGGTCGGAGGCGGTGATGAAGTTGTCGGGGCCGGTGACGTGGCTCTTCTCCAGGGCGGTGTTGAGCCCGTTATCTCTGTACATGCCATGCTGCGCCAGAGTGTTGGAAAATGTGTGCGGGGTGACGTGGAAGGAGGTCTGCGAGAGCCAGAAAAGGGGAGGAAGAGGTTTTAAATCGTAACCATGTGCAGAAGCCTGGTAAAAACACTTTATCCTCATCCCCTTCGGGGAGTTCATCACCACGGGATGTGCACAGGCCAAAATTTGAAGCCACTGTCCCCCAAAACCCCTGGCCCAA